TGCATTTCTGTGCGGAGATTAGATAGAAACACGTCTAAATCGGGAAGATGGAGTCCAAATTCGGTAACCTGTCTATTTTACCAGCGCAAAATTGACGCAAATGTCGGCCAAAAGGATACCTTTTCCTGTGCAAAAGGGTGTTCCAAAACTTGGAAGAAAAGGCTTTCATCTCGCCGCCTCTTTCTCTCGGTTTAATTCCGAGTAAAATCGCCGTTTGTCTGCAGTGCGTACACGTTCGGAGTTGAAAATCAATAAATCGGAGCCTTGCTCTTTTTTCTCTGTACTCCAGTTTTTGGACACATGAATCAATTTTATTCCCAGCAGAACTCGACGCCATTCGCAACATGATCGAAGATCTGTCGAACGTAATTTACATTCTTGACGCCGCGGTTAACAGGCTTCAGTTGGCATCGTGCAAAGTGCATCTAGTGCGGTCCCTAGTTGATTCGCCTTGTGGCGCCTTCCTGTGGAGGTCAGGTGGGGAATCCTCCTATTGTCTGTTCCGCTTCATTTGAGTAGGGCATTGTCACCACGAATAGATGGTTCTCGTGGTCGAGGTCCAGCTCTGATCTTTACTATTGGGCTGGGATCTCGAGCTAGCGGCACCTAACAGAGCCACTTCGCGTCTATTCACGCGTAACTTGGGTGCACCACATACTCAAAAACATCTCGTGCAACTTGCCCACAAATCTTAGAAGTATCCATCCGAAGCCTTTAGTAGAAACCACGTTCATAATCATCGCGCGCCTCAAATGGCGATGATTGCACGTTAACGACATACAGGTTGGGTCAAGGGTAAGCGACATCTTGCAATGATCACATCCTAGGAGCTTAGTGGGGAATTGTTCTTTGATTCCCGCACCATTGCCTTATCAGCGGCGACGTTGAGAACGTGGAGAAGCGCATAATGACACTGTACATATTTAGCCAACACTGCCAAGCATTGCGTATCATGATTGACGCCGTCGCTGCGTTTTAAAGATCCGGCTGCACTGTTCATAACGCTCGACCCCCCGACACACACTCTCACAACCGCGACATGGGTGGATTCTTCTCGTCCCTCTTTGGAGGTGGTGATAACGAAAACGAAACTCACCGCCAGATAGAAGAGGCCAATAGACTTCGACGCGAACAAGAAGAACGCGAGCGTGCAGCTCAGACAGCCAGGGAGGAAGCAGAGAGACGTGCGCGGGAGGCAGAGGAGAACGCGAGACGAGCTCGAGAAGCGGAGGCCGCCATGCAGGCCGCAAGGGCGGAGGCGGAGCGCGCTATGAGGGAAGCGGAGGAGGCTCGGGCTGCTGCGCAACGCGCGGCGGAGACGCAGCAACACGAAGCACAGGAGAGGGAGAACCAGCTGAGGGAAGAGGCACGGAGGGCAGCAGAAGCTGCCCAGCAGGAACTGGAGAGGCAGCAGGCGATCGCTGCCGAAGAGAATAGGAAAGCGGTTGAATCCCAGCGGGCTGCTGAGGCTGCAGCCAAGACGGCTGCTGAAGAGGCTAGCCGTGCTCTCGCGGCAAAGGAGGAGGCTGAGCGTCAGCTTCGCGAGGGCATCCAGCCCGTCGTCATGCCCTCCGCAGCAGACCTCGAGGCAGCCAAGCGCCGCATTGGGTATCGCGAGGGCTACTACCACTTCGCAGTCACCGGGATCGCGGGAAGCGGCAAGTCGTCTCTCATCAACGCCTTCCGCGGCCTGCGCAACCGCGATGCAGAGGCTGCTGCGACTGGCATCGCGGAGACGACATTGCAGACGGCTCGCTTCCCCGACGCAGACCCGGCCAACCACGTCGTATGGTACGATATCCCGGGCGCGGGGACGCTAAAGATCCGCGACTGGCAGTACTTCAACGACCAGGGCCTCTATGTCTTCGACGCGCTGGTCGTCCTCGTCGGCAATCGCTTCACAGCCACCGATGTTGCCATTCTGCGCAACGCACGCCTGTTCAATATCCCGTGCTACATCGTCCGCTCAAAAGCAGATGCACACATCCGCAACGTGATGATTGACATGGGATATGACAGCGACGACGACGAGCAGGACACGAGAAGCCGAGGGACACTCGAGGCTACGGCTCGAGAGCACTTTGTCAGCGCGACAAGGAATAACGTGCGGGAGAACTTGCGCAACGCGGACCTCCCCGACCAGATGGTGTACATCCTCTCTAACTCGACAATGCTGAGCGTCGTCAAGGGTACGGTTTCGTCCAAGGTATCAAAGAAGCTTCTGGACGAGAAGCAGTTCCTCGATGACTTTGCGGAGAGTTTGAAGAAGCATAGCGGAGGAAGTAAGAGAGTGCAGTAGCTTAGGTGTTATTTGACTGCGAGAACTCATAAACACGTTACGTTTTCGATTACGACGCTTGCCAGTATTTCGTGTGTGACTGTATGCGGTGCTTTCCGCGCACGCTTGGTGCATATCTTTCAAGTGCCGTGCTGTTTGTCTTCGAATTAGTTTCAGACGGTCTGCAAAGATGAACCAAGAGCTTCGCACCTGGAGCTAGAGCCTGAAGAGGCCTAAGGCAAGGCAAGGAAGGCGGCCTTGGGTTGAGCTTGAGAACGGGGTCGGTAAATGCCGGCGGCGGACAGGCGCGCCCCCGCATTTCACCGACACTTGCCTCACCATCAAGTCGTCTAGTCGTAGGCATCGATCTCGTCCATGCTTCAGATATGGAAAGTCAACCCGCCGAGACCAGCTCGTGTCACCTTGGCCTGCTTGTCACGGGCGACGCTCTCGTCACCAGCCTCTACTGGCACCAATCAACCTGTGGACTCAGCAGCCCTTCTAAGGCTCTATGTCGGCACATTCTTAAACACGCTACTCTCGTCGAACCTTCTCTCGCGCTATATCTCGCTGGTCTTTGTCACACCCACCCCGACGTTCTCTAACATGTAAAGCTAAGTCACCAAGGCCGCCCTCCAACCTCAGTAATACAGGTTCGCTACTTTGCTCGGCGATTTGCTCGTAAATCCAGACAACCATTGATATTGAATTCTTGGCCTTGGCGACAAACCATGTTCGTCGCTCGACATCCGTCACCGTGATTAGAACCTTACGCTACTCGAGTTCGCTGGTTTCGCTGGTCATTTCAAGGTATTGCAATTGCGATGTATGATGCATGCCAGAATGTGGCCTCTATCCCGGTACGATTTCTATGACCTTGACCAATGCCTATGGAATATAAAAGGACGCTAATCCTTCCCTTCGTTCTGTCTTCGTTCTGTATCAGCTCTTCGCAACTAGTCTCATATCTCCTCAGTCGTGTTCGTTCGCATCCCAGTTGCATTTATCATCGTCTTTGCCTCAGCATGCGTCCCTCAGTCGCGTTTATTCCTCTGTTCATGTCCCTTTTTGCGCAGTCCTCTGTAAGTCTTATTCAGTCTGCCTCTCTCAGCGTGAAGAGCTCAACCAAATTCAAGGTAGCTGCAATCACCAAGAGCGCGACTCCGGCCTCGACGGCCACTGCGGGTGTAACCTCGGCCTCTACTGCAAGCGACCCGACTCCGACGGCCAAGAGCTAGATGTATGCAGTGAGTCCATGCGATATTCACATTCTTCCTTCCAGTGGATAGGTATCGAGTGGCACACTGACATAGTATATCGCATGCTAGACAACTTTTGCGTAGAACGATCCCTCTTTCTCTGCTGGTCATGGGGAACTCGTCGAAGAACGGGCCATTGGATGTCGAAACGGGGACCTCGGGAGCCAAGAAGGATACGGAAATGATAGGTCAATAGGTCATTGCTTCGTAATGTAGTTATCTGTGTGTATGTCATCAGACCTGCAGATATGCGACACCCTGGTTTCCGGGAATTCAGCCCAAAACTCAGACTATGAATACCGTCGCGTCAAGATTACGTGTGCACATAATTTATCGATCAACTTGAAGAACATTCTTGTCGCTCAAAAGAACATGGGCGACTACATTGTCGTAGAAAAGGCGAGGCCTCGCTGCGGAAGGTAAGACGTGCCAGGATGTAGGAGCCTCCACTTACACTACATCATAAATAGCATGGTTGATCATTTATTAGTTACGACATCAACTGACGTGGAATACACATACAAATACATCAAGTCCAAGAAACACAAGAGAACAAGGTGTCGGAGGAATCTCACTCGGCTTTTCGTATCTCCATCTCATCCTGTACATCCGTCAAGATCTCCTCCAAACCATCGTTTATCTCTCGGTCGGCGAGGTCGCGATCCTCCTGTGTGTAAGGTTGGGTGCGGGGGATATAGTTGTCCGGGCCTCCGCTATCGTCGTCGTCATCATCGTCACTGTCATCCTCGCTCGTCTCGGCACTGTCCGTTCCATTGGGCGGGTTACCAAAAGGAGGGGGTGGTGGAGGCATCTGAGGGCCAGGCGGCGGCGGTCCACCGGGGCCACCGCCGTTTCCCGCTGGTCCCTGTTGACCTCCTCCTCCACCATTCCCGACGCCGACAGCGGCACCCATCATCCCGATCCCAGCGGTAAGCGCAGGCACGTTGACAACAGCAGTCGCGCCTACAGCCTGCAGCATGGAAAACACCCCTCCCGTGCTCGCGCCGTAGACCACCGACTGTATACCGGCAGCGATAGAGCCGGCAGCGACCCCTCCGGCCTGCCACCCGAGTGCATTGATAGCCATGATGCCTACAGGAGGGGCGGCGAGGAAAACGCCTCCGGCGACGAGCGCGCCAGCGATGGCATTGCGCGGGAAGTTAGAGTTAGGACCTCTGCTTGAGTTAAGTAACATGTTACATGCTTCTTGAAAGGGGGGATCGATATCAACTACTCACCCTGGAGGCGGCTGAGCCATGCTTCAGGATAACTTGTGCGAGACAGATGGGACAACGTTTGACTCGAGAGATAAATAGTGAAGTTGAGTGCGATGGAAAGGAGGAGTTGGTTGCCAGGGGGGCGTAATGTGGGTTGCAATGATAAATATATAAATAAGGTGCTCAACTTGCTGTGGAGGATCTGGCGAGGCTACCTCGTGGTGCTGGTTCTTTCCGCGTTCGCTGCTCCAAGAGCGCTTAATTGTTGTGCCGCTAAAGCGGATAGAAGGACAAATAGAAATGTACAGCAGCCAAAGAGCATGCTGAGGATCTCCGCTGATACAAGGCGGCAAACCCCCTGCAGGTAACCCATTGAACTGTCCAATGGAAAAACAGAAGATCCAGTCGTATGAGCTTCAAATCACGTACTAGCGAGCGCGTGTTGCGGCAATGATGTAGAGCACTGACCATCAGTTCATTTCCTCGTCGAGTAGACGCCCATCATAGGAGCGTAAATGTTGCATTCTTGAACTGAGCTTCCTCACGTATGTCGCCTATGGACCCAATGGGTTGCCTTCAAAAATATTCGCGTGTCAGGAAACTGAAGTCAAGTGTTGTTAATGCATAAAAATCAATGTGGTAAGTACTAAGTACAACTTTTCAGTCGGATATGGTGTGAACGTCTCTCTGAGAATTACGAGACGAAATTGTGCCATCCTCACGAGTGTCCGACGATCGCCTGAGGAACATAAGGCTCCTCCAGGTACTTGACCTCCTCCTCCGTAAGCTTGAGGTGAGCTCCCTCTGCGATTTCGGTCAGTCTAGCACAGAATCGGGATGCGCATCAATCCACGCACCGATGATTTCGTACAAATTCTCGAGCTTAGTTGTGCCAACAATAGGAGCAGTAACGCCAGGCTTCGCTAGCGTCCAGGCAATAGCGACCTGACTCATGCTGACGCCACGCTTCTTCGCAACTTCCTCCACCCTATTATAGGCTCAGAAGTTAGACCATGTACTCGAAAAGTCTGGCGGACAGATGGTCGCACGCACCTGTCCACGATCGTTTGGTATGCCTCGGAGCGAGTGTAGCGCTCGTGGAACGCATCCGTTTCACCGCGCTTGGTCTGCTCGCCGCGAGGGCGAGCAAGGAGGCCTCGACCAAGCGGGGACCACGGGATCGATCCGACGTTGAATAGCTATGTACGGGCCGTCAGGGACTATAAAACCTAGAGCAGACGCGCGAGTCGTACCTTGAGCGTGGGGAACATCTCGCGCTCTTCCTCGCGATAGATCAGACTGTAGTGGTTTTGCATCGAAACGAAAGGGGTGAGTTTGTTGTTGATGGCGTAATCTTGTTGAACACCGTGAGCAGTGACATACGTGTGGACGGTCAAAGTAAGACTCACTTTGCATTTGGTGGACTGGTCGAAAGGTTAGCAGCGGCGTGTGATTGCCAACGGATTTTGCGGCTTACATTGATATGCATGACACGAGCTCATGCCAATATAGCGCACGTATCCTGCTTGAACGACGTCGTGAAGCGCTTGCATCTATGCAAGAGGGTGAGCACGTCGTTGACATCATGATTATTAGTCGCCTACGGTCTCCTCGATGGGCGTTTCATAATCAAAACGATGGCCTGCAGTATCGTGAACAAATCGTAAGCGAACACGATGGCGACGACTGGGACATAAATGATAACGTACATTGGAGCAGGTCAATATAGTCGAGTTGCAAGCGCTCCAAGCTCTTCTTCACCGAGTCAAAAATGTGCTACAACAATAAAGGGAAAGGGATTCAGTCCGCCGCAAATCGGATGATTCAAGGCCAGAGCGTACCTTGCGGCTCAACCCATGCTGGTTTACAAAGCCAGCACCATCGGGGTCGGCTATCCATGCCACGTTTTGACCATAATCGCGTCCGAGAGGGAAGTATACCTACGGAGATAGTTGAGCTTGCTTGCGACCAACCAGAAAAAGATAAGTCATGCAAGCACACCTTCGTCATCACGACGATCTCCTCCCGAGGAAGATTGTACTTCTTGATAGCGTTACCCAAGATGACCTCCGATAGACCGTTGGAATACACGTTGGCGGTGTCGAATGTTTGGATACCAGCATCATATCTGAAGGATAATCAAAGGGTTTAGCATTGTCGAGCTTTGGTCCAAACAGAAGAAGGGACGCACGCAGCCTTGATGTGTTTCACGCCCTCTTCCTCTGGGAGCACCCAACCTGCCCAGCCAGCATCGCCATACGACATCGTGCCTAGGATGATCTTCGATACTTTCAGCCCGGAGTTCCCCAGACGAACTTCAAACAAGGATGTCAGAGATACGCTGCCTCCGTGATCACGATAGATATGGCGTACCGTAAGACATCTTCTTCTCCTGAGACGACATGATTATTACCAGTATCAACAAGTTGCGAGTGAGACTTGAGATCGAAGGTTGGATAAGAGATGGCGTGGCGGCATGTCAACCCAGAGAAGCTGCCCTCTTATACGTCCCAGTCGAGAAGCCAGACGACGTCATAATGTACCCATGGACACTTGTATTCGTCAGTCGTAGATTATAAACCTCGAGCAAAAGCATAATCTCGCTTACAAGACGGTTTATGAGCGCTAAGCGCTGATCCCAGCTCGGCTCTTGTTCCAATTACTCGTCATCCAGGACAGATGAAGCATGTATGCTGAGAAAATCGAGGTCATGCCTCAAGTCGAGGTGAGAGATGGGACGAGGCCAGAACATCAGAGGGAACGGACGCTGTCGGCCCGTCGTTCCGGAATTACCCGCACCTGTCATAGACCTTCCGTGCTTGGGCACGAGGCCCCTATAAATCCTTGGGATTGTAGATCGAACTGGGATAGAAGATGCTTCCGGGCTTCAACGCTAGCTTCAACGTTTCATTCAACAAGCCGCGATAGACAATGCTTGCTTAACAGCCGCTGACATATTAGGTATGTCAAACTACTAACTTTACACGCCGGTTTCGTTGATTTCACGTCACGAATACAGTATACTAACCTACCTTTTATTCAGTCTTCGATCGGTCTTCATCAATCACTTCATGTACGTCAGAACTTAGCACAAGTGCGTGTTCTTCGATCAGCATCTACGAAGAAAAAGTTGACGCAGTAACCTTCGGCAAGAGATTATGACACTCTATCTAGGCTCTTAGTACCAGTTGCCAACCTTTCAAGCTAAACTGAGCGAAAGCAGAATTTCCCTTTGATCTCATAGGCTCGGTCGGACAACGGGTGCTAAAAGACGCAAGTAGTCTTCGACAAGACTATCATGTTTTTACTTTCCCGCGCGAGTCAAACGCCACCGGTATTTCAACCTGACTATCGGGAGGATCGAGCACTCTGAACTTTATATTTCTCCACAAATATCGCTTCGAAGAAGGTTGCGAACAATCAAAAGCGTCACCAAAAGTAACATCAGCCCGGATCACCTCGGTACATGAATAAAGGCAAGCACCCGCCGAGTATATGAATGCATGGTCCCTCAATTCAGATTCTCCATAAGAGCCCAGGTCAGTGGGAAGATGTGCTGTAAATCACTCATAAAATCCCCCGCCATGTCGCTCTACCACCTGGTCTCAATACTTGTCTCAGCTGCAGTACAGGCCCTGCCCACTGGCTCCTCTGATGGGACATCCGTACTCAGTTCTGCAGAGGCGCCCTGCTCGGATAGCCACCGTTCTTTGTGGACCATCGTCTCCACGTGCCTGCTCACTATCTTCGCCTGCGTCTACACGTCGGTGCATCCGAATGTGCCCGATCCGTACGAGCGTCTGCCAGCTATTTTACGCCGAGCCGCGTTTATCATGTTGTTTGCGGTTCTCGCGCCCGAGTTGATCGTGGCATGGGCTTCGAGACAGTGGGTCAGCGCACGGGCTTTCACCGCAGAAATGAGAAGATGTCTGAAGGAAGTTAAAGCCGACCAAGGCAAGTACCAACTCCATGGAATACAAGACCGAATGACTTAGATCTGCTGGGGGCCTTAGTTCTCGCTCGAAGACGTAATACGTGCGACGGAGTGGTGGACGCTAAATTCCGAAATCAATACATTCCACTCTCGAAGGCGAGGAATATAAACCGCCACAGAAACTCCACCCAGGAAGACGTGCCATCATGGAAAAGCAAAATAAAGTCTTTATTGTACGCAGATGAAGAAAGTAACGTTCTACCACATTAATTGCGCATGTTCTCAGCTGATCAGTTTTCGGAAGACGAAGCATGGACACATACTCACAGCTTCTACGCTTACATGGGCGGCTTCATGGTATACCACGATGGAAAGCCATGGCGCACGATAACGCCTCCTAGGCTGCTAGAAGCTGTTCGCAGCGGAAATATCAGTCCCATACGGCTAGCTAAGAAAGAGATCGACGACACTAGCAAAGGCAACTTTATCTCGAAAGGGCTCGCCGTCCTCCAGGTGACGTGGTTTTGCATGCAGCTTGCCGCACGCCGTCGCCACGGTTTGGGCATCATCCCTCTCGAAGTCGGGACGGCAGGGTTTGCGGTCCTTTGTTGCATCTCCTACGCGCTCTGGTGGGACAAACCTCTGAACGTCGGACATCCTAGGCGTCTGGAATGGAAGACGGGTACACCGCCTGGCGACTTGCATTCAGACTGGTAAGTGCGCTTCCCTCATCTTAATTTTCACTGTGATGATAATTCTCCCTCTAGCAATCACCTAGAGAAGCGCCACAGATCTGAGGGCGTCATTCAGGCCTTTGGAACCCTTCTCGGATGGTCCGAACGAAATCTAGAATTGCGAGTCGAAACTTTCGGCGGCGACGATGTCACGGTAGACTGCCCGGACTGGCGCGCCTATATCAACATCCAACATTTCACCAGAAGCCAGTTCATCACCGTCTTCTGTATAGGCGCTTTGTCATCCACCATCTTCGGTCTCGTCCATGTCGCAGCAAGCGAGCTGTCGTTCCCCACCCGCACAGAACAAGTCCTGTGGGAGGTCAGCTCCCTCATTACCGTTCTAATTCCCCTCATGGCTATTCTCACAACAGCCGTACTTGGCGTCGTATACAAAAAGACGACAAACTGTGCGCTTGCGTCGATCATCCCAGCGACTATCTGGTTTATATTCTGCGTTTCCCCAGCTCTTTATGTTATCAGCCGAGTCGCTCTTATCACCATTATGTTTACGTCTTTACGCAGCCTCCCGCCGAGCTCATACGAGACGGTTCCTTGGACGGAGGTTATTCCGCACCTTTAAATTGTCTGTTAGTATATTATCAAAGCACATCGTCCCAAAGGCCTGATCTTCCGTGAATGCCAGTGACACAATGCCTTCCTCATATAACACTTCCTTCGCTTTATATTGTATCAATAAGAAATTTTTGGAGGATGACTTGAGTAGATGCTGTGGGACGATGTTGACCTAAGATGTGACGAAAATTATCCCATTACCGACGACGCACTTATCCCTGCGAACTCGCATGGCCAAGCTTAAACACGAAGACTTGAGCTTCCGAGGGCCAATGATACCAATGGACAAACACAGGAGAGGATTTCGTGTGCATGCGAGCCATGCACCCACAAAAGCTAAAGCTTCAAGTTCCAGTCCATATGCTGTAAAGAAACAAAAAGGCCAGCCAAATAATTACAGCGGTATATACTCATATGTATCAATCTAGCGAGCGTGGCGTAAGGCCAAGTACGACAAGCGGTCTGTGTCTACATGCAATCCAGCACCCTCCAAATTTTTAATTTCAAGTCCCGTACCACCTCTCATCAACACCCAACTCTAACCTACGCACGACACGTCACCTCCCCGCCGACCATCGCAATCGTCGCACCCAGACACCACCCCAGCTCCGTCCCGTCCACGCGCTTGCCCAGACTCACATCGCGCTCGTCCACGAACCCATACCCGAGCGTGAGCAGCGAATGCATAAACGTCAGATCGAGGCACCACTCCGGCCGCCCCTCGAGCTCGTCCAGCAGCGCCTCGTCGCCGCCCCACCGGTCCGTCCACGCCTTCTTGCCTGCACACACGTCCGTCGCGAGCGATGCGACGGTGCTGATGGACAGCTGCGGGGGCTTGTCGGTCGCAGAGGCGGAGGCAGCGGGGGCGAGGAGCGGCGTGATGCGGTCGTAGAAGTAGGAGAGGAGGAGAATGTTTCCTGTTGGGAAGGTGTCGAGTAGCGAGGGCTGGTAGACGCCGTCGAAGGAGCAGGGTTTGAGTTCGCAGACGCTGTAGCAAGTGTTAGCATGCGATTAATAGAAACATAAGGAAGATGGGGGACGCACGCATCTTTGGCCATGACAAGCTCGACGACCCGCCGGCACGCATCAAAGTTCCCGACATCCGCACCGCTCATTGCAACAGTCCGCTTCACATCGCCCTCAGTGACCTCGACCTCCTTGCTCGTCCCCCGCGCAAGACACGGACTCGGCACGACCCCGTGCGCATCGTGTCCCGTGTGGCCCTTCCCCCCGCGCCCCGCACGCAGCGACTGCATAAAGTCCACGAGCGCATGCACGGCCCCGCGCGCGCTCTTCAGCCCAAAGCCCAAATACGAATGCTGATACAACACGCGCGTGCGCCCGCCAAACGCCAGCTCATACCTGTGCTCGCCCTCCTGCAGCGCGTCGTCCGGGCGCCCGCCGCCCGCCGCCGCCTCGGGCTCAAACACAATCTGCGTCGACCCCCCGCCGAGATCGAGCACAGCGTACGTCGCGCCGCCCTGCGCCGTGCTGCCCGCCTTGCTCGCGGCGGGGTCGGCCGCGCCCGAGGATATCGTGCCGAGGAGGTAGTTGGCCGTGATCCACGCGTACACGCCCTCGTCCTTGCCGTCCATGATCACCACGCCCTCCTTATCCGGCAGCGGGAACGGATAGTCCTCCTTGAGATGCTTCTCGACCGCGTCCAGAATCGCCTGCGCCTGCGCCGCGCCGAGCATGCGGAGCCCCGCGGTCGCTTTCACGGCCACAGGCGTGCACTTGCGCAGGCTGGCGGGCACGGTCTGCATCGCGACGTCGAGGAGCTCGTCGAGCGACTTGGCTGCGTCGGTGGGGCGGCCGGAGTAGTCGGAGAGGCCTGGTTGTGTCATCTTGAACACCTCGTATTCGAATGCCGGGGCGGGCCCGCAGTTGTGGAACTTGTACACGTGGATGCGGGAGCCGGTCGAGCCGGCGTCAATCATGAGCGCGTACTGCACGAGGGGCGAGCTGGAGTCGTGCGGGGAGGTGCAGTGCACGGTCTTGAGCGGGTCAGGGTCGGTTTCTGGGGAGGTGGGCTTCGTGGAGAGTGTCTTCTCATCGGAGGAGGATGAAGGAGGAGCGATGTCAGGGCGAGGAGGGGTATCAAGATCAACTCCGCCAGGAGGTTTGCTCGAGGTGTCGACTGGAGGAACATAGACGTCTTCCAGCCCCACCGAAGGGAAGTCTGTCATACGTTAAGACCATCGCCGTGAGAGTTACGCACGCATATACGCACCTGGCATAACAGTGTCTGGACTAGGCCCAAAGAAATAGACAAGTCCAAGGAGCACAACAACCCCAACAGCAATCTTCCGCCACGCAAGCCGCTTTGCGATTCTGGAGCCGCCCATGCCGCCGGCCTCTAGACGGTCATATGTCGGACTGCGGGGTGAAGGAGTGAACACTGCCATGTTGTGTGCGCCGTTGCCGCTGCCACTCGCACTGGCGTCGGTATCGTCTGAACCGGTATCGGTATCTGCCTGCCTGTTGTTGGTGCGCGAACGCGGCTCTGAGCCGAGGTCGACAGAGGATGAGAATGCGCGGCGGTGTCCGCGCGGAATGGCTGAGGCAGTCAGAGTGAGGGACGACGGGGAGGGAGGGATTGTGTGATTCGGCTAAACTAGTCGCTAAGCTTCTCTTACACCTGGCAGCAGTCCGCAAAACTTCGCAGTGCGGTGGCGGTGCTGCGCCCTCCTGCTCGCCTCCACGCCTCCATCATCACACACAGCTTGGGCGCTACTCTTTGGATCCACTTCACGTTGACCGTTGCAACGATGGAATGGCACATTTCACTACCATGGGTCATCGAACATATGACTCGTATAAAAACGTACGAACCATACATCCGATTCAACGGTGGTGGTAGGAGACCCTTCTATATTCAGACCAGGCTAGTGCGCTCTACTCATTTCTGGGATCTTTCGGAACGTTCAAACGTTGTGCTAAGCATCGGATCAATCCACGAGCTTCATCATCTCGCTCAGCTTTGTTCTCAATTCAGAACCCTCTGCCTTCCTCCAGTATAAGAGTGGTGCCGAAGTCTCGGGTAGGCACCCCCAGTGCTTATCGATATCCTTCTTGCGTCGACCCCCTCGTGTGTTTCATACACGCTCAGGCTAGCCCATAGCGTTAACGAGGGCGTGCATTCCTCGCTGCTTATCCTGCCCCAGACCACCATGTCGCCCAAGAACCCTTTGCCGCGCAGACTAGCAGTATACTGTTCTCCTGCGAGATTGCAAACAAGTATCGTTGTATCCGAAGTGGTCACAGCCATACACGAGTGAGTTTCTCTCAATGTGGCCATCCGGGTTGGTATTGAGTGATAATCCAGGTTTGCCTCTACTGCGGACGACTGTGCAGAGGGGATATCGGCGGACATTCACGCTCGATGGAGCTCCGTTGAGCATTCGTTGGAGCCATGTGCTGATGCGGCACGCATCAGACTATGGCGTCTCACGCTCGCTATACCCTCGATGCCTCGCGCTGCATTGGAGAAGTTGGGAGAGTTTCTAGGCAGTCTACCTTCAAAAATGGCACCTTGTTTCATCCAGGATATCGCGTTCATCCTACGTTTCCACTTCCTGTCTGTCAAATCAAAGTTGAAAGTGCTGCGACGTAGCAACGTATCATTGGGCAAAGGGCGACTGCCGTGTATACGCATAGATGTAGAGGCGGTGACCTAGAAGGCCGGCTTATTGGACACTGGTGTTGTATAAATACATGTTTATTCTGGGAACACATGGGCGCCAGTCCATGGTTCGCAATTGTACATGCTAATTTATCACTTGGCTCTCAGCAATAGAATAGTCCTCATTCATTCGTGGCTCACCAGAACCACTGCAAATCACTGGATTCTATGATGCATTGAAAGCACGGGCCGCATAACCGGGGCACCCCTGTCTTCACGCACCATGAACTCGTTCAACTTCAAGTTGGAGCGCTTCGATTTCGGACCGACCAAGTCCGCGTCTTCGACTTCATCTTCGACTTTCACCTATCACTCCGATTTTTTTGTCAATCCTTGAGCAATCAATTTACCTCACTCCGGATCTCCGGTGCAGATCACTTGAGGACCAGAGAAGACGCAGCAACGATTCACCTTCTGTGAATCCCCCGACTCTTGCAAAGGTGGACTATAGCCCCGCTATAAATCTCGTCAGAGCGCGGTCCTCGCCTCCTCCGAGTAAACCCCCTCTTTACCGCCATGTCTGCTGAGAAACTGCATTCCAACAACTTCGTCCTGTCCGGAATAGTTATCGAGTAAGCGTCCTTTGAGCATAACAGCACAAACAATTCCTAACCGCAAGAAGGGGTGTAACAGTAACAGCAGCAGCCATTTACGCTCAGCGGTCCATCATCAAGGATCTTGTGGAATCATGGGCTGATGCGATACACATCGAACTATGGCGCCTCGTGCTCGCTCTGCCCTCAGTGCCTGGCATTGCGTTCGATAACATGGGTGACTTCCTTGCTCGTCTGCCACTGCGACTGGTGCCCCGCTGTGTCCTGGACATTGCGTTCGTTCTGCGATTTCGACTTCGTTCAGTGAAAGCGCAGGTGAAGGAGGCTGCGCGCTCGGCATCGCGCCAGAGTAAATATTCTTTTTCGCTTCTGTTGGTGATTAATGACACTTGATAAGCTGACGTTACACGTCCTCGAATGCGTTTCCAGTGTAGCCGAGGGTTGCTCTGGAAGAGGTCCGGCGTCGGAGATGTCATGGAGAAGTAGTCGCAAGTATGAGGCAAGACGCAGCTGTCGAACGTACTGTGTATAAATATATATATATATATAAAGACGGTCTGAAACCCTGACATTAACCACTGGATTGTACGAGTATGACATTATGCTGCGAATACAGTAAGCAACGGATTACAGAAAGAACGTACGACATCAAAGCAAACTCTACGCTAGTGGTATATGTTCCGCAAAGAAACCCGATGGCGGCATTCGGACAAGCGACTGGGTCAGTTGAACCACCATTTCGCTTGGATGACGCCCTGGTGTTCGGGCGCAAAGAACGAGAAGAGTCCCTCGGAGAGGTCGAGGCCGTATTCTGGGCAAATCTCGCACTGCGGGGTGCATCAAATAGTTAGCCCACTCATCCGGGGTTTGTTCAGAAAACGAACCGCGCGACTGGACGTACCCGGTCAGCAACGGTCGCAGTCGCGCTGGCCCCGCCATACTGGATCGTAATCGCCTTGCCGCAGTTCTCTCCAGAGCCGAAGAGCTGAGTAATGCATTGCGGCGTCAGCAAACCCGCGTCGCCGACTTCAGAGTGGGGTGGCAGTTACGTACAGACTCGCTTATAGCGACAATCTGACAAGGCGAAGCGAGGCGGGGGTCGTCAACACGGCGCAAAAGGTAGAACACACATGAGAAGAGGGAAAACGAAACGCACGTATTGGTCGGGTGTGTTACTCCACCCGCACGCGTCTTGGCCGTCTTTGTACCATGTCATGCGCTGGTTGTCGAAGCGCTTCGTCAGGCCTGAGCTTGTCTCGTTGGTGCTCGACGAGATCGGTGCGCTTGCAACGAGCGAGACGAAGAGGGCGGAGAGGAGGGCGATTAGGAAGACAGGAGCGTACATGGTGTTATGAGAGATGTGTTGAAACTAGGAGATTTGAAGATTTGGTAATGAGTGTGGGGTGGCCGCGAGCAGCGCGTCAGAGGTGGGATACAAGGAGCGGAAAGAGGCGATTGGCCTCAAGAGTGGTAGATTAGGGAAGAGAGGGACGATGGGAAGAGGGACGCGTGCGGCACTCAGGTCTTCGTTATATATCTCTTCGCTTATGCGCGGGCGATCTCCGCGCGGCACTGCATCTCCGAGTGAGATATGTCGTCGAGTCCGGGACGGGCGAGCTCCGACGGGGTTGACCTTCGTGACAATATATGCGTGTGCAAGCCCTGACGCTGAACGGCGCGACGCCCCTGAATTGAGCGTCACCAACTCAATCTAAAGCCTATTCCAATCGACCGTGCAAGCGAGGGGTTGAAGATTTGGGGTGGCAGCAAGAGCGAGTCGACGTAAATGCCGTCCGTAGCACTAGCCAGAGTTCAGGTACACGTGAGGTCTTCGGATACAACCCAGATGGCGAAACCGCTAGAAAGGTGACCGTGTCAGATGGATAGCGTTTGACGTGTTTGACCCTGTTGCACCAACCCGCTAAGTCATGCCAAGTCGTCGCGAGCCGTTATGTAAATTGCTTCTCCATAGAGCCGAAGGCATGCAAAACGTCCTGTCCATGCACCGACAAGTCCGACAAAGCAAGAATGGCTTACAAGCATGCTTTTAACTTGATCATTCACGAAGATTGAGAGAAGAGTTTTACGGCTATCAGAGCATGGGTTTGAAGGTCTTATCGAGGGTGAGATGAGAGTCATCCAATGATGAGCCTCCGAACGAGAGATGAGGGTAAGCAAATGAGTATACGTGTGCTTGGAGGTGCTGGCCGGAATCTGCCGAAGCAGCCATTGGACCCGTGCAAAAGTCCGCTCAGCTGGCGTTGCATTGCAACTGACCTTGTTCCCTCCCCGTTCCCTCCTTTCCATCGGGATCATCTGTCAAACAAAGACACAGTGCTGGCTCATCTCTTCACTCTCAATGACTGATACAAAACGAAAGCAGTGCCAACCAACGCCAAGAAAGACCAACCAGGGGTACAAAGTACAACACAAAAGTATCGCGTATGAACCAAACGAGTAAGAAATGTTAACGTAACACGTCGTGAGTCTCATAGCCAACCACAAGCTAAGCCATCATGCCTTCACCATGACCGTGCGCGTTCGCCATGAAGTCCTTCAAAAACACCTTCTCGTCCAGGAGCTTCTTTGACATCTTCGACGAAGCCGTGTTCTTGATGACGCTCAGCATCGTGGAGTTCGAGAGGATGTACACCCTCTGATCGGGCAGGTCCGCCTTGCGCAAGTTGTCCCGCACATTCTGCCTCGTCGCGCTGACAAAGTGTTCTCGAGCCGTAGCCTCAAGCTTCGCCCGGCTTCTCTCGTCCTCCTCGTCATCCTGGCTATCGTATCCCATATCGATCATTACGTTGCGGATGTGCGTGTCCGCTTTGGAGCGGACAATGTAGCACGGGATGTTAAACAGGCGTGCGTTACGCAGAATAGCGACATCGGTAGCCGTGAAGCGATTGTCGACAAGGACGACCAGCGCGTCGAAGACATAGAGGCCCTGGTCGTTGAAGTACTGCCAGTCGCGGACCTTGAGTGTCCCCGCGCCAGGGATGTCGAACCACACGACGTGGTTGGCCGGATTGGCGTCGGGAAAGCGGGCCATTTGCAAGGTCGTCTCCGTGATGCCGGTCGCGGCAGCCTCCGCATCGCGGTTGCGCAACCCGCGGAATGCATTGATGAGAGACGACTTGCCGCTTCCCGCAATTCCAGTGACCGCGAAGTGGAAGTAGCCCTCCTGATACCCAATGCGACGCTTGGCTTCCTCGAGGTCCGCTGCGGAGGGCATGACGACGGGCTGGATGCCTTCGCGAAGCTGACGCTCGGCCTCCTCCTTCGCTGCGAAAGCCCGGCTAGCCTCCTCAGCAGCCGTCTTGGCTGCAGCCTCAGCAGCCCGCTGCGCCTCGGCCGCTTTCCTTTGCTCCTCAGCAGCGATCGCCTGCTGCTTCTGTAATTCCTGCTGGGCAGCTTCCGCCGCTCTTCTTGCCTCGTCCCTCAGCTGGTTCTCCCTCTCCCGTGCTTCGTATTGCTGCGTCTCCGCCGCGCGTTGCGCAGCAGCACGGGCCTCCTCTGCTTCCCTCATAGCACGCACCGCCTCCACCCTTGCGGCCTGCATGGCGGCCTCCGCTTCTCGAGCTCGTCTCGCGTTCTCCTCTGCCTCCCGCGCACGTCTCTCTGCTTCCTCCCTGGCTGCCTGAGCTGCACGCTCACGCTCCTCCTGCTCGCGTCGAAGCCTATTGGCCTCTTCGATATTGTGGTGCGTGTCGTTGTCGCGCTTACGGCGCGAGAAGAGGCCGCCCATGTTGCGGGATTGTGGAAGAAAGGTAAGGGGATGAAAAGCGGGAGCACCGCAGAGCAGTCATATAAAACGAGGTTACGGCGCCAAATGTGATATACAGAAATGCCGTGTTGGTCTTCCGCAGGCAAAACGTGTTAGCCAGAGATGTACCATACCCTTCTCAACGTTCTTAACGATAAGACAGGATCACAGGAATCAAAGAAGACCTTTGAACTAAGCGTCTAAGCTATAAAAGTGGCAAGAGTCCGCTGGCCCTTAGCCCAAGTTGCATGCTATTGCTGTGCAGTTATCATGTTCCCAAGAAGAGGGTGATCGAAAACTTGAGCGCTTGAGCTCTGGTGACAACGCGCCACGAACGTGCCATGCACGGTTGTTCATGTTCCTCGCGGGCCAAGCTTGGGCTTGATTAATTGGTTTTAAGTCAGATCCCCCCGAGTGAAATGTCACTGACGCTGGCTCTTCGCAAAAGTTAGCATTAAGATGTTTGTTCAGTGCCGCTTTTCTCAAGCCAATGCGCGAGGTGCTTCTTTACGTGGACACGCTGGGAAGACAACCATGTTCTATTGGGAATCTTCCAGCGTGTTCCAAGATGGACCAGTGTAGGAGAATGCTCGAGCCATCCGTTCCGCTGCAACCACATATCTTGATACGCTAATTTCGCGCATTTACGGGCGCTATAGTGTAGTGGTTATCACTCAGGATTCTGATACGAAGTTTCCTGTAACCCAGGTTCGAGCCCTGGTAGCGCCTCATTCTTGATCTTTTCTCACATCATCGACTCGTCACCATCAACTCAGCATCGTCAGAACTTCTCTCCACTACGGCAGTGCCATGGATGCGCCCACACCACTTTTTAGTCTGCTTATGGATTGATGTTACAACACAGAATGGATTCCTTGTGCTGCAAGGTGACACGTCTGCCACAGCTGACAACGATACCGCGTTGAAGGATATCGTGGACGACGAGGATTGGATGGTTCACGCAGCGTGGGAATTCACGCGCAACAACTTGGGCGCGGTATTATGACTTCACCTTGCCTAGTCAACCTCATGTCTCTCCAGGTAAGTAGTGTTGACTTTACTCTTACTCATTGTTGAGAATTCACAGAGGAATGCAACACCAAAGGCTGGAACAATAGACCAACCAGACTACAACCATCACTATCGAGATTCGAGATCGTTCAGGAAAGGCGTCATTCAGAAACTTGTTATATCGACTGGCAAACGTTAGGCTTCTAAGCCCCAATGCCTCCTCCGTACCTCTGCACACCCTCCGAGAAGTCCTTCAGAAACTCTTTCTCGTCCAGAAGCCTCTTCGACATCTTGGATGAAATCGAACCCTTGACAGTGCTCAACATCGTCGAGTTCGAGAGGACGTACACTCGTTGATCAGGCAGATCGGCCCTGCGTAGGTTCTCTCGCACAGTTTTCTTCGTCTCGCTGACGAAGCGCTCCCGAGCCTCAGCCTCAAACTTCGCCCGACTTCTAGCGTCATGCTCGTCGTCGTCGCTATCGTATCCCAAATCGATCATCACGTTACGGAT